GACAGGTGGTATCCGGGGGGATTTCCGCACGGAAAAAAAAAAAAAAAAAAAAAAAAGGGGGGCAGAAGGTCTAAGGTGCGCTGCATTTTGACTGCCTTGAAAATGATCGTTACACGTCTTTTATACCGGCAAATCTAGTAGTGGGGAGAGTGAGGCATCGAATGACGCGCTCGGTGGCGTGATCGGTGCACGTGTTGTTTACGGTTTCGCTCAGGCGGCGCGCGGGCGCCGACATATAAATCCTTGCTGGTTTGTTTCCTGTTTTGTATCTTTAACATTTGACGTACTTAGAAATTGATAATGACTGTGTTAAGACTTGTAACAGGTATCGCATCTGTCAAATCGACGTTTTGTTCATTCGTCATTCATTACGAGTGTGTCCGTTTCTTGTAACTTAAACGTAAGAACACAAAGCTCTGAGCTATTTTTAAATTAACTTCTTGCATTTTCTAAAACTATTTGTTTTTTTTTGTTTTTGTTAAACTGGTTTCATTATTACATATTTGTGTAAAATATTATTTATACGTATTTTTTTGTATTGTATTCGAGTTAAATGTTTTGTATTTAATGAGACATAATGTGAACAACTGACAATAATGTGCATGCCATCCTGATTTCGGAAACTTGGCTTAAGCCGCATCTAGCTTCCACCTATTATCCTCTCACTGGCTTCGTACTGATTCGAAATGACCAAAGTCAAAAAGAGGCGGTGGGGTTGCCATTTACCTCCGTAGTTGTTTCCCCTACAACATACTTGCCAAATCCTCTTCCGAACCTTTACTACCGCTGAATACCTCTTCCTCGAAGTTTGTGTCAAAGGATCTAATGTTTTATAAGGGGTAGTTTATTGCCCCCCTGCTGTCAATTACTTCTCCAGTCTGGAAACAGTTCTGGAATCTTTAGGGTAAGAATACTCATACCCATCATCATGGCCGATTTTAACACTGATCTCCTAGCACTTAATTCACCCCGTACTCGTAATCTCCTCCACATCATCCAATCCACTAGCCTCCATGTCCTCCCCCTTCAAACGACTCATCACAACATTGAGCACCAAGACACTTGGCTTGATCTAATGATCACCCCTGTTCCAAGACTTATCTATTCCCATGGTAAACATCCTGCTCCTGGATTTTCCCACCCTGACTTGATCTTCCTTTCTTATATCCTAAAACCTCCTAAAATCCTAAAGAAATTTGGGAGTGGATTTAGGGATCCCTAAAAACCTCCTTTCTAAGGAGAGGCCTATGTCCAGCAGTGGACTAGTAGAGGCTGTTGATGATGATTGATGATGATTAGGGATCCACTCCCAAATTTCTACATATTCGTAGTTTCAGACGAATGAACGTCAAAAACCTGTGTGCAGGGGCGTTAGACTGGACAGACTTGGCATCAGCCACAGATATGGACGACAAAGTTACTATTTTTAATGACGCAGTTCTTAACTTGTATGATATGCACGCGACTGTGAGGAAAGTTAAATTGAAGCGCCCTCCGGCTCCATTGATGACGTAAGAAATTCGAATGGCTATGAGACGGAGACGCTCTCTTCTATGCTGTGCCCGACAGGGTCCATAATTGATACCTAGCTTAAGTTTTTACCAACTGTAAAATTTACATTATGGTAGCAATAAAGTATTGAGTATTGAGACCGTTGTTGCTAGGAATCGGTGTTAGCAGGCCATATCATTCAAAATTTAGAAACCTCTTCAACTTCCAGTGGGTGGAAGTTCCTTGGAATATTAGCAGGGGCGTGCGCTCCTTGTAGGCAGAAAATGCAGTGCTTTACTTGCTATTCAAAGTCATTTTAATAAAACGTTGGTACGTTTTAGATGACTTTAATTAATAGTAAATAAATGAAAAAACAAAATATAATAACTTAAAAACGCGTACTATTTACAAATAGCATAGCACCACACAAACATTGTTTGCCAGGTGTTTACCGAAAAGCAAGCGCAAAGCAACTCATACCGTCGCCTCGCGCAGGACATTTGTTCGCATGTGTGTAGTAATTTTGGTGTCCGTGCACAGTTTGCATACGCACACACCCATTTATTTTATATGCCCGTGTACAGCGGCAGGATACTGCACTTGGCCTTCGGCTCCCGCGCTAATCGTTGTCGTCAGTATTCGGGTATAATCGGCAGTGTTCGTTGCCTATAAATCCACCAAATTACAATAGTCAGAAATATAATTAATCATGTATGCGGATTATGAATTTTGAATATGGTAAGGTTTTATTTGTTTAATTAGCAGATATGTTTCTTGTTCGCGGGGGCCATATTGATTTTTTCATGTGATAAGCATTGTTTACTATTTTCTTTCCGCCAGTATAATTATAGTTTTATTTGAAAGTGTGTACATTTAACAGTTTATTACTGAGTTCCGTTGATTTTTTTAAAATGTTATTTGATTGTGAGGTATGTGTGGAAAATTTGTGTATAATTTAAATTAAAAATAACAAATTCTCACAATTGTCATTCAGTGAAAAGATTAAAATTGTGTCTATAGGTCTGTAACTATCACTCACTTGAATAAGATATTTGAGGTGGCCGAAATCTTGCGTTTATTTACATTGGGATATACTGCCGTGCTAAAGATAAGAGCGACAAGTGTATGACAGCAAGTTCCTAGAAAATGGCGCCTAAAGTTTTAAAATTAATTCTTCGATTATGGATATAAAAATATTGTTATTTAAAATTTGTTGTATTCTTACCGTAGTTAAAAGGTGGTATTTTGTATTCATTGCTATTTAAGAACTTTAAGTAATAAATTGATAATAAAAAAGATATAAAAATGTGATATGACAAGGAAATGCGACGTATGTTTTAAAACAAATACTTATAATAAGCGTCGTAAGTAACACAGATAGTGCGCTTATACTATGGAACTTATTTTATGGCGCTTTTGACAGCGAAAAATGAGTACTGAGTATAAGTAATGATAAGCATAACCGCCGTAACGTTGACATTTAGGGCTCTTATGGTAAGAAACTCAAAGGACTAATTTTCTGTGCGTTTACGGCACCGAGTGCAAATATGCCAACTTTCAGCTGTCAATGTATGGATAAACCGACTGATATTATAATAATACATTTGTAAATACACTAATAAAACAATCAATTTTTATGTGTGTATTAAAACGGAATTTATTAAAGTAACTTTTGAAACGAAATTACCTCGTACATCTTACAATTAAAAACAACGACTTAATTCTATTATTGGCACTTTCTGAGATCACAGTAACTTGGCAGTCTTACATATATGTACTTTTTTAAAGTATTCAGTGAAATTACTAATTAATCTTATTTTAATAAGCTTAGTAAATACACATTTAAGGACGTGGCATGGCTCCCTTTTACAAGAATATAATTATAAAATCGGTAATAATTATTAATAATCTGTTAAATCTTATAGTTTGTTCGACGCTTAAAATCTAAAAAAAAAATAACACTTCTTATAATATCTTATAAAAACAAAAAATAAAATAAAATAAGTCTTTGGAAATTCTAGGCCGTTATATAAAGATAGTCCTCTTCAAAAGATTTTAACAGTCTCATTTGTTGGTACGGTAATCCAGAACTGTTTCCTGTTTGCCGGCATTAACGGGACTAACTTTTCAATAATGGCTGCTTTGCGTTCTTCAGCTATACCCCTTGGCAAAGTTTTTCTTTGAATTTCAGGGAATTGTTCATTTTTCATGATTTTTACTTGAAGAAAATCTAAAGGTTCTGATTTGTATTGATCAGCATGATTAAATTTGTATTTTAATTTGAAAAGGCCTCGTTCAACCCTCACAGCCATTATATTCGTTAAATAAACGCGTGGATTATTTTTCCGCAATTTGTGCTGAGAAGATAAATCTTCATAGGCGATAAAGTCATCAACATTCATTACTTTTACTATATTCTTCCTTTTATTGGCGTTGCCGACACACTCAACAAAATCGTCGAAATCATAAACCTTTCCCTTTTTTGTCAGGGATTGTTCCACTTGGTGATGGAAAACTGTCTGCGGACATAAATGTATGTCCCGGTTCAAATATTTTAATGTTATACTCTCAGCTAAAATGTCTGTACTATTCACTATTTGTACCATAAAACATAGAAGTGACCAGTTTTTGTTTTGCGCAGAACAGTTATCGAGCCAGAGTACAATATTTTTTTGGTCCCTTTTAATGTTCAAAAATGCCTTGAAAGTAGAAATTATATCCTCTTGACTACGACCGGCAACACTCTCGTTCCATAACACAGCATACGGTTTGTTATCCTTAGTTGCGGGTCCTAGTGGTACAAAGCTTTCATTGAAAGCAATTAACCGCGGGCAAAAAATGGCAGTCTTGAATTGATCCATTCTTGGCAACATAATAATTTTTGAAGGTCAACGGAATAATAAATTACTTCTGTGTCAGTCTTTGCTTTCTCTCTATCTTCGTTGTATTCTTTGCGGGACTCTATGTATCTGGGCTTGTGTTGCATATTATAATTTTGGCATATCTCGCAAGATTCTTCTTGATGGTCTAATCGATTGTGACGCTTAAAAATATTCACATTGTTCACATTCTTCATTACCAAGGTGTGCAAAGAAATGTTCAGGTCATTTCTTACTACTTTCTATAAACTTCAAGAGAAACTTTAATATCCGGCCTTGTAGAGCAAAAATTTTCATGCATCATTGTGATAGTGATATCACTGGGAAGGTACAATTTTTTGGGTGCATGTTCTCGTCTATAATGTGAAATAGCGGGGTGATACGACATGATATGATCTTTTATAGCTTGTCTATCGATTATGGTTCTTTTGTAGGATCCTCGAGTCGTTTTTGTTCATCAATAGCTTTACTCATAGCAGTTTGTGATCCTTCTATCATTGTTAGGCTTATAACCCAACGTCGAAAGAAAAAACGTCTTACAAACTTCTTTTTTAATGTTATCAGGTCCTTTTAAATTATAAATATATGTTGTTTTTCTTTTGTAGTCTTCTGTAACTTGGGATCTGCGCATTACAGGCTTAACATCGAGACAACATTAATAAATAGTCCTTGTGATTCGTAATCAAGAGCGATATATCTGTCGTGTATATCTTGGCGTACCTGAGGTGTGAATTTAGTTACACATTTCTTCATACATTTTTCAGTGCATGGATCTTTCAAATCATTTTGCTCATCTCTGACCTTTTTCTTTTTTTCTTGTCTTTCCTTTACAGATTCATTGAATTTTTGCCTTTTGCGAGGCCTACCATCTTTTGTAAGTCCTTTGTTTTCTTCTGTATTTGTTAATTCATGAGGTGTGATAGTAGCATTTATTAAATCTTGCGAGTGTGCGGTGCTATTTTCTGTTTGAATATTAAATTGTGTTAAAATATTAGAGTCCATTACACTAATTGAAGTTGAAGTATCATTCATTATAAAATTGCTTTCTTTAATTATTTGCGACATTGTATTCATACTGGTACCCAAAGTCATTCTGTCATCAATTGCTGAGTTATCCATTGTTATGTCATGTAATATTAATGGTGAATGGTGTTTACGTTCCCTAGATTTTTTGGTGAATATTTCGTCTTCGCCTGAATCTGCATCTGAAGTCTCGGGAATATATGTTTTGTCCTTATCATCGTCGGATTCATGGAAAATATCAATATCTTCTTCATGAATATTTTTGTTTTTTGAAAATGGGGACAGCTCTATTACTTCTTGACATAGCAAAAAATCAGCACAAGCTGTCTCATTACTACCGTAAAAATTAAACGATAACTTCAATTCTGACAGGTTATAAGTTTGTAAATATTGATTTAATGAATTTTCATATTCTTTAGAGTAATCAAAAACAACGCTGAAAGTCTTTAAATCCAATTCTCGGCTCCATAAGTCATTAATATTAGTTAATTTAGGTTTGTGATTATAGCTGGCAGGTTGGTAGGGCTGGCATGCACTATAGGTTTTAGGTCTTAGCGGCAGTTGCATTATAGTAGCAGCCTTGTTTTTGCTGCTGGGTTGATGGTCTGTTGTCAGAGCAAGTATCTTATCACGTCTAGCACCAGATGCCCACATACCCTGCATCAAAAAAAATAATGACGTGAAAAAAGAATAATACATAAATATTCTACTACACACACCTTCAAGCCCAAATTAATAAAAATATATATTACAATTCAATACTTACATTGTTTAGAATTTGTCATTATGGAATTTATAAAAATATGTAAGAAAGATACCGCGTATTTTTGAGATTTTACAAAACAAAAATGGCGGGACCGTGGCTCATGCAACGTGGATAGTTAAATACGTTTCGCATTAAATTTTGTTATGAGAAATACCAAAAATGAGTATTTTATGTATACGTTGTTTCTTTAAGAAAATGCATTTTTATTTATTTTAATAGTATTGATTATACTTACGAAATAATGTTTTTACCGCCAATTCCCGCCAGATCACCGCACGCAACAACGTGCTCTTGGGCTTGTCAACAAGCAACTGAACGAATGAAATGAAAGATCGTTGATGCGCGACTCCCGCTCCTCCGCTTCCTCTGCCCCCATTTTTAATGCAAAACACCGCGCAATAACACAAACGGGGTAGTGATTTAATTTCGAGTACCTTGCCAAAAAGAGCCGTACATGACGCGCGACGCACGGTTACAATTAACTTATAAGAGAAGTTTCCTTATTATTACCGCAGTAACACGCAGTTGTCGCTTATGAAAATAAAACAACGTATCTATTGCATTCCAATTTCTTGTAATAAGCGTCGTAAGTGCACATACGGCTGTTATTATTGTAACTCATGGAAACCAATTAATACAGTTTTCTTATTATAATCGCCGTAAGTGGCGATTAAAGCACTTATGTTAAGGAAAAAGACTCATCAATAATAGGGATTGCATTAATATCAGAGCCGTGTTAACCGATACCGCGGTTAAGATAAGTACTACATGAATAATAATCTGGCGCTTTAGAAATCTATAGCAGTATCCAGCACTTGCGGCTGAGATATTAAGGAAATTATTTTCCTTTTTGTAGTTACTGCGCTTATACAAATCAAAAATCATATCAAACAAGCATTTTTTTACAAACCGTCAAATACAAAGTTATAGATCTCGATACGGCGATTCCGAATATGTAACTAACTCAATTTGGTAAAAAATGTTGGATACGGCGGTTATAATAAGCACGGCAGTATAGTAATCTCAAGTAACCTTAACCTTGAATATGTGAATATCAGAAAATTGAAGATGACTAGGTGAGTAGTATAATATTTTAGCTTATTATTTTACTTATTAGAATTTCCTCCACCGCGATCTATCGCCGATCTATCGCAGTTTTGTCAGTGTTCCCGTTGAAGATGTACATGAATAGTAGTACATCTAAGACTTGTTCTGTTGGCATGGTTTCCGACTTAGAGATACATCGCGTGGCTGTGGCTAAGCTAAAAATCTATAAAAGAAAAAGTTTTTGGGACCGACTACTCTGCCGCATACCTAGTGTCATAATCCTGTGCACGCCGCTGCCTATTCAGGGGTAGCGGTAGAAATCGCCTGGCAGGGGGCCGAAGCCCCGAACCAGCCATCACACGCCCCCTACGGGACGTTGTGAAAACCAGCAGATTTCAAGGCAGTCTTGGCTCTGGCGTGGCTCGGTGCACTAGTTGTACCTCGCTGCTAGCTTAAGACACTTTGGATGATTAATTCGTGAAAACGAATTAATTATTATTCCGGGTTATAATTTGGTTTCTGGACTAATTATACCCGAATATTTAAGGATTTTTTATTGAAATGTTAATTTATAACATAGTTTAGTTTAATGATTAATTAATAACAAATTGTTATTAGTCCTGTGATTTGCTGTTTCTCTGTATTTGGTTGAATAAAATATTATCAAGTCTTAAAATAAATTTATTTTTAAATATGGCCGATCCTCTTCTTACATCAGAAGTGGGATCGGATCCACTCCCACTTCACGATCAAACCAACTCAATCAACTGCGTGGAACAGCAAATGTCTTTTTTTTCTTCCGGTATGGAAGCAATTTTATTAAAATTTTCAAATAGTTTAAATCAGCATCCCGTCAATCCACCTACCCCCTTTAAATTGGTGTCATTCAATCCCGATGACGCAGATTCCGACATAAAAGACTGGTGTACCTTAAGCGAATTGATTACTGAAAAAAAGAACTTGGAGGGTGTTGATCTCATTATTGGACTCACTTACGCTCCTAAGGGTCGCGCTGCGACTTGTCTTACAAAAATACGGCCAGATAACATGTCCTGGTAGGCTATTAAGGAAATATTAATTTCGAAATTTTTAAAAACCAATGATGATGCAAGACTATTTTGATCAGGTCATTAAGTTTCGCCTTGATGACAAGGAAAACCCAGCTGAAGTGGGCACACGCTTATGGCAGCTTATAGAAAAAGTCCCCAACGCAAACCTACCCGAAAAGGTTACAACGGGCTTTGCAATTTCGATTTTATCCCAATGTGATGATAAAAATACGTCGGGAGTTGAACTCTATAATTATTAACGATAAACATCAACACTTTCGTACTTTAAGAAGCTTTTCACTTAAGAGACGTAACGATGATCCTTTAACATCGGAAGTAGAACAAAAAAAGTTCCACCCTTCTATACCATTTAAAGGTTCCTGTCATTTTTGGTGCAGAACAGGACATCGGGGCCACGAATGTCGAAGTGAAAATCGCTCGTTCACCAAAAACACTTCTATGTCAGCTAAGCCAGATTCTTCAATGACTAAAACCTACTGCTACATCTGCCTGGACACCAGCCACATAGCCAGCGCCTGCCCCAAGCGGTATATGTAAGAAGAAGACGACGCTTCGAGCAGCAAGCAAATCAACTTATGCAGCAAACCAACTCGTGGGACATCATTTGTTTTTGATTCAGGATCAACTGGGTGAGATTCAATTAGCCCTTACTAGTACCCGTTCGAGAATCACTAGATTTACCCCTCTTGAACTGATGTTTGGTATACAAGTAAATTCATTGGGATTATCTAAAATAGCTTTTAGTTCACATAACGACGTTATATCCAGACTAAACTTGGATGATATTAGATCTAGTGCTTCCAGTAATATCATTAAGTCCTCAGAAACAGATTCTAAAGTACGACCTTTCTCACTAGGTGATTTCGTGTTTCTCAAATCTGAAGAAAGGCACCAAACAAAATTAGATAGAAAATTTAAAGGTCCATTTAAAATAACGGCTATATTAGAAAACGGTCGCTATGGATTGAAACATATTGATTGTTCAAATCGAGTTTATAAATATTCCCACGAAAATTTAGGGGTGCCCCAGGGTCCCTTAGTCACAAAAACTAGCGCTGAGGTGAGAAATTGCCAACGATAGGGGATCCGAATTTATGTCAACAGTAATGCAAGAAACTTGTAAATTACTTCATATAAATAAGATTAACTCTAGTGCTTACCGACACGAGAGCATAGGCGCCCTCGAAAATGCTCACAAACATTTAATAAGCTTTTTAAGAATACAAATATCCTGAGTCGTGGAATACTTAGTTGCCATATTGGTGCTTGAGCTATAATACTTCCGTCCACACGGAAACTAAATATACTTCTATTGAGCTAGTATACGGCAAGAAATTCAACTTACCTAGCAACATTACAAAAGGTATAGATCCACTTTGTAATTACGATAACTATCCCTTAGAATTAAAATACCGGTTGCAGGTGTCTTCAAAAGATGCTCAAGATAATTTATAACAATCAAAGTTACTAGGAAATTAAAATACGACTGCACTATGAACCCTCTCCAATATAAGAAAAACGACTTACTAGGCATGCCTTTTAAGTTCTGTCGTTTCCATATTTCCCGGCAATTTTGAATTTGGAACTGTTCTAAATTCGAATTTGTTTAAATTTTGAATCTTAAAACAGTTGAAAGTATAAGGATTAATGCTATTGTTTACTCACAGCGTCAATTGGAATCTATCGTGTAATACGTGAAAGAAAA